TAAGATAGGTGGGATAAACAATCTGGAGGAGAAAACAACAGACCTATGGTTCCAGAAGCGGAGGCAGGGGAAAGGAAGTGGATGTTAACAAACCCAGGGACAAGGGAACAACAAGTGATCCAAAATCAGTGGTGAGGAGGGTGTAGGCAGTGCCCTGGCAGTGCTTGATCAAGGGCAATGTAACTGAGAGGAACCCAAATGAAGGCTGAGCATGATAGTGGAACAAGAGGAAAGTAAAAGGAAATAAAGGAAAGTAAAAGGAAATAAAGGAAAGAAGCAAAGGGCATTTATAGAGGTCTAAATATAGGCATGTACATATGTAAATATATTTATATATGATGATGGGGAAATAGATCTATGGTGCATATATTTATAGGTTTAATATTAAGGTAACAGATGGACATTGGGCCTCCACTCAAATACTCTGTCAATGCAAGAACACTTTGTTCTCTTAAACTAGCATTCCATGATGCTCACCTTCCCAACACAATCACTGAAGACAAAGCGGTGCATAGGCAAATGTGAAGCATGATGATGGCGCCAAGCTATCAAAAGATATAGCATCTGGAGTCTTTTTTTTAAAGGCTTGAAGATAAGCAAGCAGCCATCTAGCTGAGAAGCAACAAATCCCACATGGAAGCACACCAGCCTGTGTAATCACGAGGTGTCGATGGGATCAGGTATCAAGCATCAAAGAACAAAATATCACATCATTGTGAATGAGGAGGAGAGCCGAGTAGAGACCCAAAGCCCATCTGAAGGCAGCTGGACATCCCCTCTCAGTAGGGTCATGGGGAGGAGTCGAGCCAGTCATGGTGCAGTGTAACACCAATGAAACATACAACTTTCCTTTAGTTCTTTAATGCTTCCTCCCCACCCCCAGCCCCCACTATCATGATACAATTCTACCTTACAAATCCGGCTAGACCAGTGGATGTACACTGGTACAAATAGGAACTGGAAACACAGGGAATCCAGGACAGATGATCCCTTCAGGGCCAGTGGTGAGAGTGGTGATACTGGGAGGGTAGAAGGAAGGTGAGGTAGAAAGAGGGAACTTATCACAATGATCTACATATAACTCCCTCCCTGGGGGTAGGGACAACAGAAAAGTGGATGAAGGGAGACATCAGTGTAAGACATGACAAAATAATAACAATTTATAAATTATCAAGGATTCGGGAGGGTGGGTAGGTGGGGGAGGCAGGGGAAAAAATGAGGAGCTGATACCAAGGGATCAAGTAGAAAGAAAATGTTTTGAAAATGATGATGGCAACAAATGTACAAATGTGTTTGACACAATGGATGTGTGTATGGATTGTGATAAGAGTTGTATGAGCCCCCAATAAAATGATAAAAAAATCATACATTAATTATATCAAACACCTTTGTGCATGTTGCCTTGAGCAGTTTCAAAATATTTTCTTTCTGTTTGAACCCTTGGTATCAGCTACTCTTTTTCACCCCCCCACCCACATCCCACCCTCATGGACCCCCGATAAATCATAAATTATTATTATTTTCATATCTTATACTGCCCGCTGTCTCCATTCGTCTATGTTATTGTTGTCCGTCCCCTGGGGAGGGCAGGGGATGCTGCATCTACCCTCATGGTATCGCTACTGCCATTGCTGTTCCTGAGGGGTTTATCTGTCCTGAATTCCATGTGTCAAGAGCCCTTATCTGTACCAGTGTATGTGCTTCAGTCTAGCTGGATTTGTAAGGCAGAACTGGGGTCATGATAGTGGGGAGGAGGAAGCATTGAAGAACTAGAGGAATACGGTGTGTTCCGTTGGTGCTGTGCTGCACCCTGGCTGTCTCCTTCTTTCCTTGTGACTCTTCTCTGAGTGAATGTCCAATTATCTACAGATGGGCTTTGGGTCTGCACTCTGACCCCCATCATTTGCATCAATATACTTGTTTGTTTGGGGTCTTCGAACTTAATTCTTAAAAGTCTTAATCTTTTAAGATTATGTTCAATGTATACCTTGCTGGACAATCCTTAAGGAGTACTGGTATTAAATAAATATTTATCAAGACTGAAAACCTCAAGTGCCAATTATATTTGGAGGTGGCTGTAAGTTAATAACACACTAAAGTCAATAAAAATGACACCCGACACGTCCAAGAGTAAGGGAACAGATTTGGTGCCACTCGTCCTGGCAGCACAGTGGCTAAGTGCTCAGCTGCTAACTGAAGGCTGGTGATTGGAGACCATCAGCTGCTCCACCATGCTAAGTGGTCTTTCCAATACTAATAACATTACATTGTAAGCATTTTCCTATGTTAAGTGAAAATGGCAGGATTTAGAGCCATATGAGCTCAAGTAAATAAAATAAACAGAAAAAGAGATCAAAAGAAACAACACAAAAATCTCAATAATCTGTAGGTAGTGTTGTGAGGAATTATTTCCTCTGCTCATTTTATAAATAATAAACATTATTGCTTTAGTAATCCATAAACGTGCTTGATTTTTAAAAGACACAGGCTGGTGACGTGTCAAAAGCACAATTTCCAATAGGATTACAGGTTAAGTTGCATCCCTGAGCCCAGAAGAACTAAGTGATGCCTGGAAGCCACTGCTGCTGACTGCCCTGAAAGGATCACCGTAAGAGGTCCTGGACAGAGCGGGAGAAAAGGTAAAACAAAACTCACAATCATAAAAAAGGATCAGGTTTACGGGTCTGATGAGAGAGATTGGTGGCATCCCAAGACTGTGGCTTCTAGTCACCCTCGGGCCTAGATTCAAACTCCCCTCAGTGCTCAACTTTCAGCCCAACTGACAGACAAGTCTATCAGGTGAAGAATAATGTCAGGGAGGCATGTACTCCTTAGCAAACTCAGCCACACGAGATCAAAGGAGAGCCTTTGCCCAGAGAACGCTAAGAAGGCAAAAAGGGATAGGAAAGGAAGATCAAACAGCAAATACAGCAAGTAGTTAGAAGGCTGTGACGTGTTGAGTGCACTCAATGCCAAAAATCAAAATGTGTATAGATTGTTGAATGGAAAACTAAAGTGCCCTGTAAAATCTCACCCCAAAACACAATAAAAGTTAAAAGTTTTAAAAAGGGGGTGAGGTGGACAGGGGATTAGAAGACACACAACTAGTATGAGTTTTCATAAACATTGCAGGTAACCATACTACACGAGTAAAGTATGTTCCTGTTTGCTTGCTGCCCCGCCCGCCCCTAATCACTGATTTAGCTTCTTTGCAATAGCCCTGGCATCAGCAGACCTGATGACATCATCATCCATTGGTGTTACTGACATTAAATATAAAAGAAGTCACTGACAACCTACATCCTAAATATTTGCTAGATTTAAAACACATTTAATCCCGAGTGCTCCCCAGGCCAAGTACCTCAGTCCAACGGCCTGAGAGTGAGAAACAGGTGGCGGCTGTGGATTGACAGCTGTGTCCTACTGGACACAAGTGTCCAAGGGCGGTTGCGATGGCACTGATAATAGAAAACTCCGCAGCTAGGATGTAAGAGAGTTCATCTTTTATGGACCAATCAATCACATTTCCAGGTTGGCTGGCACTTCTAACATGTATTTGTTTTGTTTTGATTCCATTTGAACTCATTTCAATGTCTGCTATGACTTCTCAGTTAAATCCATTAACTAGGCATTAGTATCAATCAGGAGGTTCCTCCATAAGGTTCCAAATAAAATATTTAAACTAAATAAAATTGTATCATTTTCAAAACTTCCTTGGTGCCTACGAGATGAAGGAATATGATGCCAGGAAATCTGTGACTCACTCTGGGAAAATATGGAGTCATCAGCCTGACTGTTTAGTAAGTCAGAAAGTCATGTGAAATTTTATTAGTTTATGACTCTGAAAGCTCAGTACAACTGCTATCAAAATACTACCTGAAAACCTTATCATATTTATTTCCTCGGCCACATAGTTTGCATGAAACAGTAAAGTATGTATTCTTTGCAAACAAATTTCAAAAATTAATGGTCACTGAGTTCATTGCTAGTAGAACTTAAATATCATATTGTGCCTATCTGTATAAAAAGAACACACGTTATATTCTTTAAATGTGTGTGTGTGTGTGTGTGTATGTATAATGTGAGATGTATAGCTCAGATCTTTTCTCTCTCTTTCTTATATTATCATATTAATGGTTTTATATACCAGCCACGTCTCAGGAGAAAGACAGGCCTTTCTACTACCATAAACAGTTATAATCTTGGAATTTCACATGGGCAGTTCTACTCTGTCCTATAGGGTGTCTATAAGTTGACATCCACTCGATGGCAGTGAGTTTATATATATAATTAATCAACAACAATTCTGCCAAGTCAAAAACGGTGAGTACCCAGCACCATGCCACCCCAAGAAGAGAGGAAAATGAGCATAGCACTTGTCACTCTTAGGGTGGAAGGGGGGAAAAAAGATGTAGGATGTACACACTTCTAATATATTGGCTTTTAAAGATTAAGCTTTGGGCTGCTAACCACAGTGTCAACAGTCCCAACCCACCCGTTGTTTCATGGGGGAAAGATGAGGTTGTCTGCTCCCATCAAGATTTATAGACTCAGCAACCTTATGTCAGGAAGCTGTACTGATCATCTCTTTCCAGATGATCAGAGACTACGTATACCAATAAACACTCAGAGATGACCTGTATTAAATGCTAAAGGAAATACCAAGCTACTTATGACATGGCCTCTATAAGCAATTTAAAATTTGAAGGGAGAGCAAACATGAGATGAAAGATCAACAACATGCAACTGAGTGGCACAGTATGTGGTAAAGATAGTAATCTGATTGGCCAAACCAATATAGAAATACAATTAACACCTGATGAACATGGCAGTTTGAGAGTAACTAATCTGTTAGGAAAATAAGTTACTGTAGCTAGGAGTTGCAAACATCACTCTAAATCTTACAGGTAATTTTCAAATCTTATGATTGTTTGTTTGTTATTCCTTAACAAACAGAAATTGGAACAATAACAGGTTAGGCCTACGGCAACAGACGATACCTGAGATTTCTGACTTGGGGTTTCTCGGACTGGGAAGCGCTCCATCCAGAGACTGAGCAAAGTGAAGAGGTTGACTTTAGAAAGCCTTGGTATTTGACCTACAAGAGAGAAGGGAAACACCTGACATTTTTACTGTTGATGAAAATAGGCGTGTCTCGGCTCAAGGCCACGAGAGCGCTGCTGCCTTTGCTCAGCTGAGCTCTCGCAGGAGACAGAAAAAGGCTCAGCGGGCGGGAGAACCAGTGCGATTTCTTTAACTTCCCTGGCGCTGTGAGGCCCCCTTTCTCTAGAGCTCATTCAGCAGGGGGTGGGGGGAAAGTCTAACTGGCAGATGCAGCGACAGGAACCGTCCGAAGGTGCCGTGGGAAGTCCTTCGTCTGACATAGCTGTGAAACAGGATCCTGTGGGGAGGCTGGGGCAGTTAGGAAGGGCGGATGCATCCAAGACCGGAATTCCCATTCCCCAGGCTGGCCAATAACCCCACACAATGCCCGGCAAGAACCGTCAAGCGGGCGACGCCTGAGAGCGCGCCGCGGCGGCCCCGCGCAGGGCCCACCCTGGGGCGGACTTCAGGGCGGGAGAAGAGGCCGGGCCAGCCGGGAGCTGGGTGGCGGGAGCAGGGTCCGGGCACTCACCGGTCATACTGCCGGTCTGGGTGCTGACTGACCGCCCGGCCCTCGCCGTCTCCAGACCTTGCATCGGCCCCGCTTCTTTCATCTCAGCCCTAACGGCTTCCGCAGCCCCGGAAGCCTCTCACACTCCGGCATGATCTCGCCCCGCGGCTCCCCCGCCCGGCTCCGCCCGGCAACCGGAACGCAACGGCCCGCAGGCGCCGCCAGCGGCCAGCCCGGACCAACAGCCACTTCCGGGCGCCTGCGTGACGTCAGCGCGGGGCGCGGACCTAGTGACGCGGCGGCGGCGGCGGTGTGGCTCTGAGGTCGTCCCCAGCCCCACCGCGACGCACAGGCGCACGCCCGCTCACGGACGCGCGCACGCACGCACGCACGCACCAACTCATTCACCAAGTCGTTTCCAACTCATCTTGACCCTGAAGGACAGAGTTATATAACCTAAGGTGACCAGATTTTAACATTGGTAAAGCGGGACACCATTGACTGGGGTGGGGGTGGGGGTGGGGTTCTTGATTAAAAATTTGGTCTCTATCATTTTGTCGCCACTATAAAATACGAGTACTCTCTGCTAAATTCAAGAAAATGGAGAAAAAAAAAGAAAATGTATGTATTTATGAAATAAATTACCTAAATTATCTGAATAGCTGGTTTGTTGACATCACTTGTTTAACTAGCACTAGCACGCAGTACGATGTGTGTCGTCTGAGAGACAGTTACAAAATGTTTTCGTCGTTGCCAATGCCAGAAAATGCCGTTGTTCATTAAGTCCAAACAATGGTGGTCGAATTCTAACAACTGATCAACAATGCGAACTTTGTTTGATAAGCAGTTCTCGATAATCAGTTCTCAACAATTATTTATTAAATTTTAACATTACAGTGAACCCTCGATTATCGCGGTTCATCGGTCCTAGACCCTACCGTGATAAATGAAATTCCACGAAGTAGGATTCCTTATTTGTAAATCAAATATTTTCGTAGTTAGAGCATAGAGGACATGAAAAAACACCCTTTAGTCACCATTACACTCGTATTACCCAATTTGTTAAACGAAAAAGGGAAAATACAGTAAAACATTTTGGACGTTACAATGATCATTTATTATTTATTATATTATTGATGGCATCAAGCGTGTACAGTATGAGCCAATCAGTGGCAGTAATGACAGAGCATGCGCTGTTACGCCAAAACCGCGATAGAGTGAAGCCGCGGAAGTCGAAGCGCGAAGTGGCGAGGGTTCACTGTATATTATTAAAGTTTAACATTATAAAATTAACAAGAATAATATAAAACTCATATCCTGGCGAAATAGCCACATGGCAGCCGAAAACCGTATATTCCCTTCCCGTGTCCCGCCGTTCCCTAGCTTGTGCATTCTTTCCAAAAATCGGGACGTTTTTAAGACGCCGCGGGATAAATTGTTAAAAATCGGGACTGTCCCACCAAAAGCAGGACGTCTGGTCACCTTATCGTCCCTCGAGGTTACCGAAGCGGTGCGTCTTCAAGGGAGATGAAACTTTCCTCTTTCTCCTGCCGAGCACCTGGTGGGTTTGAACCGCTGACATGATCATTAGCAACCCAGAGCTTCCTGGGTGTGACGGACTGAACCATCAATCATCCGAGACTTGTCCTTGGTTGTTGGTTTTGCCAGCTGAAGTGTGCATTTTATTGTGCAGACTCTCAGGGGGGTGAAGGAGGCATCGAGATGACTACTTGCCCCATTGGTTCAGGGACAAGGTCTGAGATAACCTAGGGTTGAAAGGAAATTGAGCAGGGTGGTCTAGATTATTGGCCAAGATAGGGGTATTAGTCGGAGAAACCAGCCTAGTGACATTCTGTTTCTGGGATGTGAGAAAGGTCGGGGTAGAAGGAAAATAGCAAGTGGCTCCTGCATAATCGAACGAGCAACCTGATACGGATTTTTTGATTTAATAGTTTAGACATGACTTAAAATGAAACCTCTCCCTACTCGCCAATGAATAAACCAAACTAAAAAAAAGAAACCAACATCCTAGATCACTGCCATTGAGTGAATTCCACTTCGTGGTGAGGCTAAGAATAGGGTACAACCCCCTTTGTGGTTTCTTAGGCTGTAAATCTTTTTCCTTCTGAGTGACTGGGGGTTTTGAACTGTTGGCTCTGGGATAAGCAGCCCACCATGTAATACGCCAAGCCACAAGGGCTCCTTTCACTAACAGGTATGAAACCAAAATAGAGCAGCTCCCCGACATAAAGCAATGGCTAACGTTAGGAAAGTCCAAGGCTGCATTACAGACTCAGGGAGAATCTTCAGTGCTGAGGGGTATGGCTATGGTTCATTGATTTTCACTCCTATGCAGGGAGTTCCCTCCTTAAAATGGGCTTTCTCTCCATTGTAAATCCATTCTAAGTCGACTAGCTCATTACTTTTCAGTTTTCATCTCTTTATAAGTCTTATCTTTGTACTTGGGTTGGAAACAAACATCTATTTTTAATGCACACATGCAAAATGCATATTCCTTTAAAATAGACAACGCTGGCATTTTGTCACACGTGGGAGGTTCTGGGTTATTTGGATCATCCCTGGGAATGAGATGGCATTTCTAGTCAGAAAAGTAATGAGAGTTGTCTGTGGCATTTTTATGAGATGCCACATTGTATGTAGCACATATTATCAACTATGACGTGTACAACTATGAAAACAAAAACTACATGACCATGAAGATGATTCAACATAACTCTGATACCTCTTGGAAGTGTATTTCTTTCACTATAAAGTGTATGTATGTCTTTGTAGATCTATGCACAATTTATTGATGTGAGTCAAAAGACACTTGAATCATTTCAAGCTTTGGGGCAATTGCAAGCCCCGCTACTACAAGCATTTTCCTATGTGTCTCCTCATGTTCATATTGAAGGCTTTCCTTAGGGAAAATCTCTACCTAGGAATGGAATTATTGGGGTGTTACTAAGTTTATTATTGTTGGGTTCTCCCACCATCCCCGCTGCGGGTAATTAGCAGCTCAGGCGGTAGACAGAGCAGCATCAGCCAGGCAACCCAGCTTCCAGAAAGCTCTATGCACCCTACTCACAGCCAAGATGCCCAAATGGAAGGGCAGTGAAAGGGGAGCCCCAGATGAGATTGATGAGGTTGCCAGTGAAATCTGTGCCTACAAAAGTGGAGACAAAGCCACCAAAAAAAAGGCAGCAGGAAAGGGCAATCTTCGGACAACAACGTGCCAGCCAAAGGGAAGAGGAAAAGGGGAAACGGGCTGAAGTAGCTAACCAAGAAACGGAAGATTGACCTGCTGAGACTGGAGAAGCGAAAAGAGAAGCGAGTCCAGACTCCGATGAAGCAGGAGAAAAAGCAGCCAAGTTTGATGAATGTTGATCTACCAGGTCTTATCGGTGGACCCTGTTCTCTCCCTTCTACAACGCAGAGGAATGGTTTTTTAGCCACTGTTTTGTAAATACGTGTGTTTTAGTAGCTCTTGAAACATTTTTAAGAAGGAGGAAATCTTACTTCATCCCATTTTTTTAAGGGTAAATGATTTTTTTTTAAGACATGAGAATATTTACTGGTTGATTATTTTTGGGTATAACCAGAAAATAGTGGAATGCTGAATTGTGGGAAGATTGGATTGTCTTGGGTGCCAACATAACATTCCATGGGATGGGGTGGGGAGTAGTTCTTATAGCCCTAATACAAAACATACCTAATCCCAATTTGGAATCACTGTCATGCATTTGTATGCCATGGACATTTAGATTTTTGTTTCCATGTTTTTTGTTTTTAAGTAGAATTGTGTCTCAAAACCATTTGGTCATCATGGCTTTCTTGTCAGAACTGTGTGCATTCTGTGACACCTGTGGTCGTGGTAGTCCAGTTTTCCTGATCACTTTGTTATGTGCTGTGAAGGGCTGAACATTTGAGTGTGTAGTGTTTGTGGCATTAAATTATGAATCAGTGGGACTTGAGATGTAACAGCTTATCAACATTTGAAGATAATGGTACTTAAAAATTTCTTTTTAAAAAATACCTCCAGATTTAAAGCTGGAAAGTCACTAGAATTTAGAAACAAATTATACTGCATGCCATTTTAGAATCTTGGTATGTGCACTAATAATTGTGTACAGTACACAGGTGCTTGACACAATGGATGGATGGATGGATTGTGCTAAGAATTGTACGAGCCTCCAATAAAATGATTTTAAAAAATAAAATAATTGTGTATGATATGTTCATAATGTCTCTGTACTGATCTCAAAACAACCAATAAAATGGTTACAAAAGAAAAAAAGAGTTTACTATTCTTAAAACAAAATCATACTAAGCTAATAATAGAAATCAGTTCGTTTGTTGACAATATGATTTTCAAATCAGAGTAACATTTCAACTAGACTGTCAAAAGTATTCTAAAGAAGAATTTCCAAAATTCTTATACAAATTCTTACCAGCATTGCCTTGAAAAAAGGGAACTGATAACAAATTTATGGTCAGGACAGATTTTCAGACAGCATTCTCTTGAAGAACAAAATAATTGCTGCTTACCCTACATGACCTCCAATCTGACCCTTGATCTGTTTTCTGAAACGGAATTCTTCAAAAGAGCACCATGTCCAAGGTAAATAGCCTTGCCAGTTTGTTTGACTCAAAAGTGACCTTGAGGAGCCAATATCTTCAAGGTTCAAAAGGACATGTGAGGATGACAGTCTGCGTGGGTTTTCCCAACTTCTATGAATGCCAGAAATCTGAATTCTAAGAGAATTCATTTCGTTTCATTTTCACTATGTAATAGATTTCCCAAGTGGATTGGACTGTTTCACATAGTTCCATATCTTCACCAAACGGGCCCTGGTGGGGTAGTGGCTACGTTGGGCTGCTAACCAAGAAGTAAGCCATTTGAAACCACCAGCCGCTCTTTAGTGGAAGATTAGGCTTTCTCTCCCCGGAAAGCGTTACAGTTTGGGAAACCAACTAGGGAACTTCTACCCTGCCCTATAGTTTTGCCACGAGCCAGAACTGCCTCCCTGCCTCCCAGACGGCTTTGTTGGTTTATATTCTCACCAAAGGAGCCCTGATGCTGTTCCGGCTTACAAGTTGGGCTGCCGATTGCAAGACTCGCAGTTTGGAACCACCAGCTTATCCTCAGGATGTAGTTAAACTGTGTATTTCAATTTTTTTGAAAACAAATTTTTTCC